TGTGAGCTTTATAGCGTAAAGGCTGTCAGGGGCCATATAAAACGTAACAAGAAGAGCATCGACACCTATGTTTTAGGCTTGTCCTCGTGATGACAGCCTCCAAGTAGTTCTGTCTTTTCCAGTCCTACCCAGGAACTCTGAAATTACTCTTCTACTCTTTCCTTATAGCAAACCTAATTACCCCCCATTACCCAGGCGCTATATGACCCCTGCGAGCTCAGCGGCTTTCCCCCATGAGTACAATAATCTTCATAGGTAGTTAGTGGGTTAGCCTATACTAGAGAGCTACCCCAGACTCCTTCCCTGCACAGTTACAGGTCAAATTTTACTGACACCTAGTCAAGGTAAAACGTTAATCAAAGCTGAAAGGTAACGTTTATTAGCCATGTATTTTGAGGTGTGTCAAACATGAAATTGGTTTTTACTGTACGTCTTAAACTTACTGGCTTTGGTAGGGTGAGGATCAGTTACCTGAGGTCACATAACGTTCACCTGCGGTATATTTGGAGGCTGATACAAACCCTCTTGTGAAAGAGGACAGTTATTCAGTGATTATGTTATTTAAGCTCTGGTCTAGTAAACGAAATTGCCCGATAAACTGAAGAGTTAACCCCACGAAGGGGGGTTGAGAGGAGCCTTGATTTAAGCAACATGAAAATTTGTGTTCCTACATTATACAGCATCAGTTCTGTTTTTATTGCCATGATGGAAGAGATACACTCAAAGAAAAGGTAGCACATCTAGAAAAATCGTTACCACCCTTAAAAAATTACCGAGGAAGAGTTGTCCCATTCCCAAGGAAAATAGTTACTACCAAGGAAATCTCTGACCTCATAAGGAAAGTACTTGCCCCAAGTGTAATAGGCATCCACAAAATAAAATCTCTTACTACATGGAAAATAAAAATTATCCCTCCCCTCACGGAAGACTAAGTAACTTATTGGACACACCCAGGTCCTGTGTGGTACCCAGCACCTATGTGGTACCAGCACCTGTGTGGCACCCAGCACCTCTTTTGTGACACGCAGCACCTCTTTTGTGACACCCAGCACATCTTGTCGCACCTAGCACCTCTGTGGCACCCTGCACTCTGTGAGCCTATGTCACGTTAAGTTCACAAACTTTTTTTTGATGGCTTGATCTGTGACACAAAGAACACATCTTGTACTTCAATGTCCTCACCCTTGCTGCCCTTACTCTAGCTACCTTCACTCTGGCTGCCCTCATCCTGGCTACCTTAGCCCTGATTGTTTTTGCTCTGTTCCAAGGCACCATCCTAGAAGCGAAGAGGACGGGGGAGGCACTGGAAGCGCAGGCAGTCAGTCTCCTGACACCTCAGTGTAGGAGCATCGTACTAGGAGACGGGCGAGCCGGGAATTCTGGCAGTGCCAGTTTTTACATTCATTTAATGTGAAGATGCTTAGCCGGTACTTTCCCTTGCTCACCTTCCTTACCGTTAAACACACCATACTGCGTCGTCACAAGGTACTGCTTAAAATTGACTGAATCTACCCTCTGTATTTATTTGGTAATATATATATATATATATTATATATATATATATATATATATATATATATATATATATATATATATATATATATATATATATATATTTTATATATATATAGCTTCTAAGGAGACTGGTGTAACTTAAACTAAACCGGATGACATTACAGAAGGACCAAGGGATTCGTGATAATGACATATAAAATACTCCAGAAAAAGTGATAGGATTGATAAGGCCAGACCGTTGGACAGGTGAGAAGCAGGTATACTAAGGCACAGTTTAAATTTAAAAATACAGGTGAGTCGGAGGGCTGTTAGGAGCTGTTTTTTTAGCCTCAGGGTGGCCAGGAAGTTGAGTGACCTAAACATTGAAGTGAGAGAGGTACAATTTTACATAACTTAATGAACAGATATGATAAGAGCTCAGAAATCTAGGAGAGAAAATCCAGTAATGGTAAATTTCAGAGACGGCCTGAAGCTGAGACTTGACCTTTGCAACAAATATTTGAACATGTACACACAGGAAGTATTTCTTCAGCCATAGAGTTGTTAGAAAGTGGAATAGTCTGACAAGTGATGTAGTGGAGGCAGGAACCATACATAGTTTTAAAAAAGACGAAGTATGATAAAGCTCATGGAGCAGGGAGAGGGGACCCAGTAGCGGTCAGTGAAGAGGCGGGGCCAAGAGCCGAGTCTCAACCCCTGCAACCACAAATAGGTGAGTACAAATGATGATTGGGGAAGAGCAAAGAAGACTGCAGAGTACAGGCTTGCGGGGTCAAAGACGGCAAACTTCACTCAAGGAAAAGTATCTTGGGGTGAGTACATGTAATACCGAGCATATCTGAGGCGCACATAATCCATATAACTGCTGCAGCATATGGGCCTTGGCAAGCCTATGAATACCGTTCCGGCATCTCAGGAAAGAATCGTTCAAGACTTTGTACACTGTGTATGTAACACCAGTATGGAACCCCACACCTGGTCAAGCATGTCAAGAAATTTAGAGAAAGTGCAAAGGTTTGCAACAAGACTAGTCCCAGAGCTATGGGGTATGTCCAATGAGGAGAGGTTAAGGGAAATCACCCTGACAACTCTGGAGGACTGGAGGGATAGGGGTACATGATAACAACATAAAATACTGAGAGAAATTGACAAGGTGGATAAGGACAGAATGTTTCAGAGATGGGACACAGCAACAAGGGGTCACAATTGGAAGTTGAAGACTCAGCTGAGTCACAGGGATGTTAGGAAGTATTTCTTCAGTCATAGAGTTGTCAGGAAGTGGAACAGTCTGGAGAGGAGGCAAGATCCATACAAAGCTTTAAGAAGAGGTTCGATATAGCTCATGGAGCAGGGAGAGAGTGGACCTAGTAGTGACCAGTGAAGCAGCAGGGCCAGGAGCTATGAATTGACCCTTGCAACCACAAATAGGTGAGCACACACACAGTCATGTTTGCAGGGTCAGGTCTTGGCTCATAACACTACCTCTTCAGCTACAGTCGCTGGCATTATTAGCACCTAACCTGGGCTTTATCATGTCCGCTCATGAAACTGTGTATGATGTTTGCCTTAACAACTACCTAAACATCTACCAACTTGAGACTGAAATATTTCCTAACAATCCTATTGTTCATCTACATTTTAAATTCCTACATCAACAAGTCCCATACCTTACATTTCAAATTGTCTCTCTTGTTATATCAAATCCTGTAAGTAATATGTATGTCATGTATGTCTCCTTTGGTCCTTTCTTCTAATGTGGTTAGGTTCAGTTCCTTTAGTCTCACCTTATATCTCACTCTCCTCAGCTCTGAGACTAGTCTTGTTGAAATATTTAACATTCTCAAGTTTCTAACCAGGTGTGGTCTCCACGCTGTTGCTTCATACTTTATGACAGGCTTGAGATATACTGAGTACAGTCCTAAAAGATTTGAGAATAGCAAACCTTGCATATGTTGCTGATATGAGTTTTATATACATGGTTGAATGATGTTCACTTCAAGATCATTCTCATTTAATGATATCTGCTGTTTCTTGCCTCCCAACCTATACTTTTTACTGCTTCCCCAGTTTGCAAAACTGCACTTATTTGGCCACCCATGCAGCTTGTCCAAGTCTTCTTGTAGACTATTTCCATCTTCCATTTTTAATCTCATTAGTTTTACATCATTGACAAATGAAGATACTTAAGACTCAAGCTTTGTGGCAGAAAATTACTTATATTACAAATAATAATGGTCCTAGTAATGAAAATTCTTCTTGACAGTGAGGACTGTGTGAAGGATGACAAACTAGCGGTGGCCTCTATGTTGGTCCTAGAAGCAGAGAAGAGAGTAGTGTTGGTCTAGGACATGGTAGTGAATGCAGCAGCTGTTGACCCTGAATATGATCTGCTAATGAAGTCAGGACAGGATACTGGTCCAAAGGTCGGGCCCAGGAGCTACTCTGTCTCAAGCTCCTTTACAACATGGACAAACTTGTGACCTACATGTATAAGAAAAGGTTTCACCATCACTGTGGCACCATGTACTGGCTAACCTACATGCAGTCCATCAGGAGGGAGTAGAGTCTGCTATGCAGAGCCTAACAGGCAGTGCTCTGGCTATGACTGGAAGCTGATCTGTAGTACCATTGGTACTACAGATCAGCTTCTAGTGCTGGAGAGAACGTGAATCGCATGCTCCCTTCAGCACCAGGAGCCATTGTTCCCAACTCCACCCTCACCACCAGAATACCCATGCTGGTGTTACACTTGTTCCAGATTTATGGACAGGTGTTTGTGGCTTTCAAGTATAAGCTGACAGGCTGGGTGGTATCACACCTACCCATTAGTGCCCTCATCCCAGCACTGAGAGGTTACTTCAGTATGTGGTGGGGTTCCTGAGGAAGTCTCCCCAGGCATACACCTACTCCAATACACATTCACAGAGCAGGTACTGTACTTCCCACCTTCAGGACTAGTCCAGCTAACTAGTTTCCCTGAATCTCTTCATGTTACCTTGCTCACACATCAACAGCACATCAGATTAAATAAAAACACTTATTACTCAGGTTGTGAATCTACAAATCTGAAACATTCATATGTACTTACCTTGGAACCTTACACAGTGTGCTATTACAGCAAATACATGCTAAACATTACTTAACCTGAAAACAAACAGAAAAAGTTAAAGAAATTCAAATAACTGTTTACACACACATGCAAGGAAACATGCACACACATGCAAGGACACATGCACACACACACACACACACACATACATGCCAGGAAACATTTACACACATGCAAGCACACATGCACACACACACATGCCAGGAAACATGTACACACATGCAGACACATGTACACACATGCACACACACATGAACACACAAGCACACACACACATGAAAACAGAAGCACACACACACACACATGAACACACAAGCCCACATACACACATGCACACATGTGCACACACTCAAAAGAATGAATGAAAAACCACAGCCAGGATTTTACTTTTACTATGAATGTAACAAATTTACAATTTCCCTGCAGTTATTTGCTTTGTTATGCACTGATTACAAAAAAATTAATTGACCTTATTCATCAAGTTGGCTATTACAGCTAATTGGCACTAGAGTTTTCAGAAATTATTATGAACCTGATTTTTAAATATGACACTACATTCTATACACGTTATTCAGATTAAAAAAATGTACGTGAAAAGATGTAAATACAGCCATTTCTTAAATGTTTATGCTATATAGTAACATGAATATTAAAATAAAATCTTCAAATAACCATACAACAGTCAGTTCAATGTATCAAATACAATATAGAGCAGTGTTTCTCAGCCAGACCAGCTACTAGTCATGTTATTACATTAACAGCACCGACTAGTTGTACAGTAAATCCTCGATATAATGCACTCCTTTATAGCAGACCTCAGAAGTGTGGAACAAAATTTGCTATGTCATTTGATTTGGTTATGGAATTGTTACCAATCACTGAAAAAAATCTGTCTTTCAACTAGAATTGGTATTACCAGCCACTCCTCCCATCAATCAGTTCTATCAATGATTTACTGGCTTGCCCTGCTCATGATTCCCAGGGGGGGCCATGGCTCACTGTTTGAGAAACACTGGTTTATAGGATATCATCAACATGTTGTACTATATATTAAACTACAAGTGTTTTACAAACCTAACATTTTCTTAGTTTACTGAAGGATAATGCAGCAGTGCTTTAATTAACATTTTTGGGGAGCCACTACAATGACTAATTACTCAATCACACAAGGTATTATACGAAAAGAAAACTGTATGAGGAACTGTTTTCTTGCAGTGGTACCTTTAACACACTACAGCTCAACAGTGGTACCTTGATGAACATACTACAGAACAACAGTAGTACCTTGAACATACTACAGCTCAACAGTGGTACCTTAATGAACATATTACAGCTCAAGTGGTACCTTGATGAACATTACTACAGCTCAACAGTGATACCTTGATGAACATACTACAACACAGCAGCAAGGTTGACTGCACTCTAGGTATTATGATTTTCTTCAATACTGTATAATTACACCCTTGAAGGTGTGCTTGATGTTGGCAAATGGCTCTTGATCCTATTAAGTGAGGCTACCCTCACCTTTAGATCAAGCCTCATTTCCACTCTTAGGGGTTTAGAACTTGTTCATCTATAAAATAATTCACCCTCATCCCTGAATGGGCCAGATAATCAATGGTATAATCCTGTGTACCCTCGTCCTAGTGAGGAATGGATAATCCATGATATACTGTACTACTATACATTTGGAGTAAAAATTATGATGCTGAAGGGTATTACGATATCACTAACTGTTATTGCTACTAATGTATATGGCTATATTATTATTGTAACACAACACAGGATCCAAACTCAATATGATTTCTGTATACATCCAGAATGATTACTAGGTGCTGGAAAATACACATACATGTTTAAAATAATGAAAATATATACAAACCCTCCCTTTTTAAAGTACATATATGTGTATTGATAATGTTGATTAACTTTAAACCAGCCATTTATATGACTAGGTTGATCAATAAATAAATTACAATAAATGTTTAATACACCAGGTGCAATACACAACTAAAAAAAATTAAAAACTGTGCTTAAACTAAAAAAAGTTACTAAACATACATGAAATTAGGGGTTTAAACTTTTAGTACTCAGTACAGGACATATCAATGTGGAATGATCAAAATATGAGTTGTCTTACAAAGACATCAATTATTCTTCCAAGGAAAAATGCAAAGTTATCTGTATAGAGACAAGAAAATTGGATGCATTCATAAAACTATCAAATCATCAGCAGAACTGAGAACAGGACATTTCTCCCAGAAATAAATGGCAGCCAAAGCTGAGGAAACAATATTATGCTCAGTTTTAATGTATAACTGAAAAACATGTAAGAATATGATATAAGCTTTCGTCACTTTTCAAAGCCACTAGACATGGTGATCAGTGTGATTATTATATTCAAAAATAGAATTAAACCTGTACAGGTCATACAGTGCTGCACAGAAGTGAAAGAGATAGAATGGAGAGGTTATGTGAGAGGTGTAAGTGTTGAGACAGGAATAGAGTACTGCAGCTGATAAAGCCAATTAACATTAGTTAAGAAGCCAGAGTGTGATTGCAGCAAATTTGGAGCCATCAGAGAGGAGGGCAGACAAAGCAAGCACATTAGGGTGGGTCAGCTGGAGAATATTTTTAAAAAATTATGATTTTTTAGTGTGACGGCCCCCTGCCAAACTAGTGGTTAGATTGTTAACCTGCTGGCCGGCAGTACCACTGGGTACGTCATCAGACCCAATGTGGGGACTGCTGAGCCGACCTTAGAAGCAGTATTCACCAGACCACCTTACGGTGTATATCAACTGGTCTTAGAGGCAGTAGACAGTACTCACCAGACCACCTTACGGTGTACATCTACTGGCCTTAGAGAGTATTTACAAGACTACCTCAAGGAGTACAATTGTAGGTGATGTCTACGGACTCACCACCGACTCTAGTCAACTGTGGGCCAAGTCATGCTGACGCTGTTGTAGTGTGGCACTGAATGAAGATAGGGTCGGAGTGTGACACTGAAAAAGGCTGGGACCGTAGTGTGACACTGAAGGAAGTATGACAGAGTGTAACACTGAAGTACGATAATAGGATCATAGTGGAACACTGAGAGACGAGGGTGTCATGTGACACTGAAGGAGACAGGATCGTAGTGTGACACTGACGAATAGTGTCATGTGACAGATTGCTGGCCTCTGAGAAGAAAGACGCTATGCGGGTGATAGCCGAGTGTGTGACACAGAGACAAGGGTGTCAAGTGTGACACAGTAGACACGTGTGTGTGACGCAGAGCTGACGCTGTTGTAGTGTAACACTGACAATAGTGTCATGGAGAGAAGGAGCATCACAACACGGACAAGGGTGTCGTGTGACACAGAGAAAGAGCGTCATAACAGATAAGGGTGTCATGAGACAGGAGTGTAGTATAACTCCATGTAATTAGTGACTGAGTGTGACACAGTAGTGTCAAGAGTTGTACCCCTGTGTGTGGTAGGGTCGTAAACTAATTATAATTTATTATTTTAGGATTTATATGTACGTATATATCTGTACAAAGTAATTATAATTTATTATTGTAACATGTATATATATATGTACCAGAGATAATAGGTTTTTATTAGATGTTAATATATTAAAGATTATTTATTATATAATACCTCTAGACCAAAGATTGTGTTTATATGCTAGTAAAAATGATAAATTGTTTTGTGTGTATTAAGTATCCCAAACTTTTATATTACTGCACTAGTGGAAGGACAACTAGTGTTTTTTGTAATATTTAGTGTTGACTTATCACTCACTTAATTCTTATATTCAATGCACCATTTCTCAATTTCATACAGTGTGAAGACATCCACTTCCTTTATCATATATATTCTGTCATTTTGTTCAACTCTTAAAAGCTGTCACAGAAAGTGCAATTGCTTCATTATCAAGGAACTTGCTATGAGGTAATTAGAAAAAAATATTAAATCACTCATTTCATATCAAAGTTTCCATAGTTTACAGCATACCACGTTTTGTTACAAATGAGCTTTAAAACACCAAGCATCAAAACTTAAACAAAATGACAATCAGGTATTAAAAATGATTCATCATTACAGAGAAAGGCAGCAAAAGTTTTGCACAGAATGAAGAAGACAAAAGTTGATTAAGGTGCTGCATACCATACAAAATTTGGAAGAGAACAGTTACAGAACTGAAGAAATGCATAGCAAGTTACGTATTTACACAACTGATATTCATTTTTTTTTTAAGTTGGGCTGTCTTTAAAAAGTTAACCATGGTGTAATACAGTTTAGTTTAATAAAATGTTAGCTTATGTAAAAAAATAAAAAAATTAAAAAATATTATGGTGCCTAGAATTTCTACATTCTCTTTATGACTCTCATTATCATCTTCACAAAGCAAGCTAAACCCACGTCGATTATTTAGCATTTGCATTTTCTATTTGATTAATCCTTTGTTCCAGCCCAATACAAAATTAAATTTTAATGTTTAAGTAAACCTAATTACTACTTGGTTGATTTACTTATGTGTAAACCTGTATATTAGTACTCATTAGCATTTTTTCACTACTGTACTATTAGCTGTGCAGATATAAATAAAATATGGGTAAGCCAAAATATTTTTGAGATTTATTTACAAAAATCATCCTATCTATCATCTAAATAAATAATCAAACACCTGCAGCTACCTGCCGTTGTATTCTCTGCACAACACGATGGTCGAGGATTTTTTGTCGTGCCATTGTTGCAAGCCCAGCTACGAAGCCTACTACACCCACCACAGCTTCAAATGTCCAGAAGTGTCGCTCTTCAAGCCACATCACACGGTCACACCTAAAGAGCATTTTTATTATTATTATATTATTACATACATGGGAGGCAATCAGAAAAGAATAAAAAGGCACAATACCATGATTGCAACAATAAACAAATAACCCCCACACAAGGGAAAAACTCATGACGATGTTTCGGTCTGACTTGGACTACTGATTAGTCCCACACTGTGACACCAGTCAATAGTCCAAGTTGGTTCGAAATGTCATCATAAGTTTCTTTCTCCTATGTGCGGGTTATTTGAGGCAATTAGATATGATCTGAGGAAGTGGAGGGTAGTTTCAATTCTCTGTACCAAACTCCCTTCTTGTATAGGGTATAGGGTACATATTTTACTATCCTTAAATAATACATCGTGACACTTATGTAAGCAACTAAACCATACAGTGTGTATAACTATATTTCAGTTATACAGAGATAAGATGCAATTGTAATAATACACAGTATAAAATAGATACAGTATAAAATATATTGTAAAATACAGTGTAAGTTACAGTATAAAAAGGCACAGTGGTATACAATAGATACAGTAGCAATCAGAGGTATACCCAACATTCTTGTTTTCTCATTTTTACTACATCAGCCACTTATTTGCAAGGTAAAGTGACTCAGAGAAGAAAGCACAATTGCCAACGTTCTTTCAATAGCTGTCTTGCCAGAAGTGCACGGGCATCACAGTTCAAATGACTCACTAAAGTGCAACTTACTCATTCAATAACTGCTGAGCAACAAGTGCTGCGACATCATGGCAAATTCAAACGACACTTTGAACTACAAAATTCTCACCCACTCTACATCCATTTAATACAGATGTGAGCTTTTCTTCTTTCTTTCTACAAACCGGCCATATCCCACCGTGGCAGGGTGGCCCAAAACGAGAAACAAAAGTTTCTCTTTTAAACTTTAGCAATGTATACAGGATAAGGGGTTACTAGCCCCTTGCTCCCAACATGTTAGTTGCCTCTTACGATATGCATAGCTCATGGAGGAAGAATTCTGTTCCACTTCCCCATGGAGATAGGAAATAAACAAAAGCTAGTAAGAAAATAAAAGAAAACCCATAGGAGTGTGTATATATGCTTGTATATGCATGTGTAGTGTGACCTAAGGGTAAGTAGAAGTAGCAAGATGTACCTGAAACCTTGACCTTAATCCATTACAACTGGCAAAATTTTAGCAGACAAGATTCTAATTTTAAATACTGTATAACAAACAGTTACCTAACCTAAAATTTTAATGTACAAACTGTAAAGTACAATAATAAAACAAAGAAAATTGTGGGAGGCATTTTGCAAGCTTGTAAAACTGGAATGACTGGAGGAGTTGTTTTTAGGATTTGACATGCTGTTGGAGTGTTAGTAATGGATTCAGGGAAACTGTTTAGTCTGACTTAAGTTTTGACCCAAAGAGAATAGTGACTGCATTTTGAAGGATGGGTGAAGATATTATGGTTCAGACGGGTACGGTAATCGAACTGCGATGTCTGTACACTTCTAGCAAGACAGATACTGAATAAACTAGTGAATGTGATTTCCTTTGGATACCCTAGAATGGTAGGAATTGGCTGATGTGGCATAAAAAAAAAGAACTTACTTTCGAAAGACTTCTCCAGTTTTCATGCATTTAACTTTCTGGCGATAGCTAGCAGACGTACACACTGCTGGACTGCCACTTTTGATTTCAAGGTCTGAAAGAAGCAATATCAAACAAATACTTCAACATACTGCAGTTTCCTAATTAACAGCATATCATAATAAATAATAAACAATATACAGTGGTACCTCACATTTCGAACAGCTCCCAACTTGAGCAATTATATAAGTGTATTTTTGTAAGTGCTTTCATAAGTGTATTTTTGGGGGTCTGAAATGGATTAATCTGATTTACATTATTCCTCATGAGAACAAATTCGTTCGGTATCGGCACTCGAGCAGCCTTCTGAAACTAATTAAGTTCATAACTCAAGGCATCACTATAGTTGAAAACCAGAATTCACATGCTACTTAATTCACATAATTTGATTATGTGAATTAAGGCCATGATAATGTGAATTCGATTATGCGAATTATAGCCATTTTGTAGATACGTAGCTTTGCTTATTCATTTTTCTGTGGTGCCCATTTTGGTTTTGCTTGGTGCTCTGTCTCTTAGTTAAAAACTAACCAAAAGATTTCTTATGAATGTCAATGCTAAGCAGATTACAATACCATTTAAAAAATATAGCTGTAAGGGAAGAAAGGAGGGGTAGGGGTTGTCCTCGAAAAGGTTGGAGGGAGGGGGTAAAGGGGGTTTTGTGGGCGAGGGGCTTGGACTTCCAGCAAGCGTGTGTGAGCGTGTTAGATAGGAGTGAATGGACGAATGGTATTTGGGACCTGACAAGCTGTTGGAATGTGAGCAGGGTAATATTTAGTGAAGGGATTCAGGGAAACCAGTTATTTTACATAGCCGGACTTGAGTCCTGGAAATGGGAAGTACAATGCCTGCACTTTAACCCTTTATCGTGCTTGGCCGGGAAAATTCGGTATTAATTACGTGTTTTTGGCGCGTGTCATACTTCGCGCCCCGCGCGGCCAGCTTCCCGTTCTTTAGTTCCAACCAATCACAAGCCTTCCCTGAGTCTCTTCAGCTAAGTACAGTTCGCTTCTGCCGCCTTCCCATTGGTTGAGAGATCAAAATATAAACACTAGCGGCTTGGCTTCGAACACACGCGCATTTTTCCCTCCACCCTTGCTAATCTACTCTTGGATTATACATTCTACAATGTCGGTAAGTACTGATTGTTGTGTTTAGTGCTTACATGAATAGTTTAGGCATATTTTGATATATACCTAAAGTCCGTGTGAAGCATAATATGAGTGTAGCATGCAGCTGAAAAAAGTGCAAGCATTTTAGTCCGAATTATTTCGGTATTGCGCGAGTTTCCGGGAATGTCCAATTTTAGTCAAATAAATATTTATAAAAAATTTTCAATTGCATATATGAACTCTGTAGTGGTCTGGATTTATACAGGAGGTTTCTATTGTCCTTCCAGTTCCATGAGAGGCTGTTTTATGGGGAGCAGTCGACCAGCAGGTCGAGGTATGTCTGCGTTTCTGAAGACAGTGACTCGGAACCAGAGGTAGACGAACCAGAATTGCTGGATAGTGGTGATGAATACTTGCCACCGGATGCACAGGATGCAGAGATGTCAAGTGATGATGAGGAGGAAGAAAGGGAAGAAAGGCCAGCCAAAAAGCAGAAAGTAATGAGGAAAAAGAAAACTTTTAGGATTGAGGAATACCCGGATGAGGAAGAGATCCATGAGAATATTGCTCTTCAAGTTTCATCTGAGTGGACCGTAGATGACATTGAAAATGATCCTTTGCCGGCATATGAACATGAAAAGCCTCTTGCAATTAGGTCTCCGTATGAGTATTTTCGTATGTTCGTTACTCCAGCCATGATAGATAACATAGCATATCAAACAAATTTGTATACAAGGCAACAAGACGTAAATAGTACTTTTTCAACAGATTCTGAAGAGATCATGAGGTTCATAGGTATTTTGTTGTTCATGGGTATTAATTCACTACCATCCCTCGAAGACTATTGGAAAGCTGCTTTTAGGAGCCAACAGGTTGCAGATAGCATGGCGTCCTAAGAGGTTTAGGTACCTTAGAAGTCATATTCATTTCAATGACAACACAAAAAAGGATAATGACAGATTCTACAAAGTAAGGCCTCTTTACACTGAACTAACTAATGCTTGCTTGAAAATTCCAGCTACACCCAAGCAATCTATTGATGAAGTCATGGTTGGTTTCAAGGTAAAACTGCTGGAAACCTAAGGCAGTACATCAAAACAAAACCAGATAAGTGGGGTTTCAAACTTTTTTGTCGTGCAAGTCAAGATGGACTCATACATGATATACTCATGTATCAAGGCACAACAACTTTTGACACACATCCCATACAGCTGCCACAGGAAGAATCTAAACTTCCAATAAGTACAAAGATTGTTCTGGTACTTGCACAAACTATGAACAAGACAAACACATCAGCAATCTATGCTGACAATTTCTTTTCAAGTATGCCTTTGGTCAAGCTACTAAGAGATAAGTATAACTGCAGATACACTGGAACAGTACGTGACAATAGATGTGGTAAGCCACATCTGGTGCCTATCAAACAAATGGAAAAAAACAGTGTGGTCAGGGCAATTTTTGCTTCAACAACAATGATGGTGTCCTTGTTGTACGATGGAAGGACACCAAAGTTGTGACTTTAGTGACAACTGATATTGGGGTCGAGCCCATGAGTCTTGTTGAGAGATATAACAAGGGTACAAAGAGGAAAGAGAAAATATCGTGCCCTGCAGTCATCAAGAACTATAATGCAAATATGGGAGGTATTGACAAAAGCAACATGTTGGTGCATCTCTACAAAACACCAATGAAATCAAAACGTTGGTACATGCGGCTATTTGCCTATATTATTGATCTTGCTGTTGTGAATGCATGGCTGCTTTATTGCCGTGATTCTCGAGCAATAAAGCAAAAGTGTATGCAACTGAAGTATTTCAGGAATTCTATCTCTGAAATTGCAAGGTCTAAAGGACAAAACCTTAGAGGGAGCAGCCTAAGAACAACTCCAAGACCTTCACCACCTAATTCACCATGTACTTCCAATGGTGTTGGCATAGTGAAACCTGGGAGGGGAACACGTACAGAAATGCCTGATGACAGTGTTAGGAAAGACATTACTCTAATGCACTTCCCAATGGCAGGGCAAAGGCCGTTTACTTGCAAGTATTGCAGCACCTCGAAAAAAACGGTAACATCGTCATTCGTCTGTAGTGTATGCAAAGTAAATCTGTGCATAAAGACTGATAGAAATTGTTTCACAGACTTCCATCTTGCCAATTAGCAATATAGAATCATTGGTCTTTCCAAATGAATCTCAGGAATATAGGGATTGAAACTTGCATCACTTTGCAATTTGGCATTGTTGATATTTGCTTCCTTTTTATATTTTTGTAACAATTAAAAAATGTTTTGATACAAGTTCCATTTATGTTTTTTATATTGTCTGTTTGTATATTAAATTTAAAAAATTGTTTTGGTGTGTTTTATTAACAATTGCAAGTTTGCAACATAAAATTTTTTAATCACTTTGTCGGGGGCGGCCTAATATTTTCGGTCTTCGGAGATTGGCAATTGCTCGAAAACTAACCATCAGAAATCAATTTATATGGGATCAGTGACCTTGTATTGAGTTACTCTATCCACCATAGGGAGTTCAGTTCGAATTTCAAATTTTCGGACCCCTTGCGCGATGAAGGGTTAAATGAGGGGTTTGGGATATTGGCAGTTTGGAGGGATATGTTGTGTATCTTTATACGTATATGCTTCTAAACTGTTGTATTCTGAGTACCTCTGCAAAAACAGTGATTATGTGTGATTGAGGTGAAAGTGTTGAATGATGATGAAAGTATTTTCTTTTTGGGGATTTTCTTTCTTTTTGGGTCACCCTGCCTCGGTGGGAGACAGCCGACTTGTTAAAAAAAAAAAAAAAAAAAAGAACCTAATAATATGAGATTTTTCTGAAATTTAACTATAGTATACTATACACGTAAAATACAAAAGATAATAATAATAATAAATCTTTATTTCTACAAGTACATGTACAAGGTAAACAGGCCTAGATGACATTAATGACATACTACTACATAGAAAGCCCCTTGTTATGCAGAGCATTTTGGGCAAATTAGGTTAATTTCGTCCCAGGATGCAACCCACACCAATTGACTAACACCAAGGCATCCATTTTACTGATGGGTGAACAATGGACAGCAGATATCTTAAGGAAACATGTCTTGTTTCCAGCCATGCCAGTGATCGACCCCCTGACCACAGTGTGTGAGCTGAGTGCGCTAGCGATCAAGCTACGGGATACAGTAAGTTGAATGTGTCAAATTTCTCAGAACGGTATCTGAAGCTCCTAGATTCACATCACCTAAGCTCCATAAATTCTGGGGTCTAACTGTATAACAGAGAGATCTGATTAAATCAATAATAAAAATATATATTGGCAACTCATTAAATTATTTTTTAAATATAATGCAACTACAGCATTTTTTGTAAGCCACTTTTTGACTTTTCTAAAAAATATATGTAGTTTTAGTTATCATCATCTATAACAATATAAATAATTTTTTTTCAGTTACCACAAGTAAAATATAAATAAATACATATACAGTGATATTATATTTTATTTGCCCATGTATAAGTTACATCATAGCCATATACTAATACTGCAACATGATTATTATTATAATAAAAAAGGAACACCAAACCCACTAGGGTCTCATATTGCAACAAATGCTCCTTTATACAAACTATTTAAACATGCCACACACATTTTCCCCTCATTCAAATATGCTCCTTAAATATTCTTAATGTTATTCTTTTACACTCATCCACTGCATTCCCACTTGGGCACTTTTGTTGTACATCTATATTCAAAACTTTAAATTTGGCCACAATCTAAGTTTAAATTTAACCGGGACCACCCTGTTCTTTAAAACTGGGAACTTTATTTTTAGTACAGTACAGTGGACCCCCGGTTAACGATATTTTTTCATTCCAGAAGTATGTTCAGGTGCCAGTACTGACCGAATTTGTTCCCATAAGGAATATTGTGAAGTAGATTAGTCCATTTCAGACCCCCAAACATACACGTACAAACGCACTTACATAAATACACTTACATAACTGGTCGCATTGGGAGGTGATCGTTATGCGGGGGTCCACTGTACTTGCATTTACAATCCTCCTCTTTCATTATATACATATAAATCACACAAAATATGAAATAACTTACCAGTGCAAGGTTGACATTCTTCCAATTCTTCCATTTTTTCTACAATCCAACAAAACTCCCGCTGCGTCACATTTGGGTGTGGAGTTGTGTGGGTATGAGGTCGAGTGTCATTGGGGGCTAGTTCGTTCTCCACAATTAGCACAAGTACGGATAAACTATAGAGAAAGCAGTAAAAAAATAATTTGTGAGAATGTTGGTAGAATTACCGACAATATGTAAAGTAAAAGGACACAAGTGCAACTAATGTGACATTTTTATTGTGGCAACGTTTCGCTCTCCAGGAGCTTCGTCAAGCCGTTACGGCTTGACAAAGCGAAACATTGCCACAATAAAAATGTCACATTAGTTGCACCTGTGTCCTTTTACTTTACAAAAAATAATTTATTAATTTGGTTTAACTTCATTGTTTTAGGTGACTGATCAGGTTAAGTCATGCAGCAGTATTATATCATCAATTTAAGCAAAAATTGAGCAATCTAGTTACAAATTTTGTACTAAAATTAAGTTGGCACCATGAAAAATTAACATAATTTGCATTAGCCATTGTATTTAACCAGACATCAAATACTTTCTGTACAATTATAAAATATGGAAATGGTGTCATCTTCTCTAGTAATGGATATGAAAATAGAAGATTCTAATAAGTATGGAAAACAAAGCAAAATGAAATCACTTTAGGTTATGTTTAATGGAAATATTTCCTAGAGGTTAGACAGTGCCTTGAAGAAAGGGAGACAATTCAAGGAAAGCAAGGGTTGCTCCAAATTCCTTGAATTAAGAGCTCTTCACTGGCATTATGGCACCTTCCCTTGAAGGGTGCAAACAATATAAAAATGTCTAAAATACAATTAATATAAAAATAAATGTAAAAAATCTGTAAATGTAACTTGAACAGAAATAGCTACTTATTTTCCCCACAACCATACATGAATCAATTGTAAGTAATTTGTATTTAGAAGGAAAAAATACAAAATTAAACTTGATTATATTCATGGGAGAAATCCTAACCTATAATGGTTACACAACACTTGAGAAATAAGAGATAATCAGGCATGATTCAAGGAAGGGCAGAGCAGCTCAAATTCCCAGAATAAAGCATTACAGTATAGATACAAAATTAACATGTTTAGACTTCACCAAAAATAGCTACAGGTCCTCAAAGAAACCCAAGATGAATATAATTACACTATTACTTTCTACATTCAAGGACTGTATAGTCCTTGTGGCTTAGTGCTTCTTTTTGATTATAATAATAATAATACATTCAAGGAGGGACTGCTAAACCCATCAAATTTATATATCGAATGAGGATTGTCATTAGCAAATTTGGAGAAAGTATTAAATCGAAGGGGGTCATGCAATGCCCGGACACTGGGAGGTTTGATCCATGGAAGGGAATGACAAGTTGGCTTCCTTGGATCAAGAGCCCCTCGTTAGGATCAAGGAACCTCCCTTGTGGAGAGAACCTGAGAAATGAGGCAATCTGGGTCGAGCTGAAAAGGAAGGCAGATCCAATTCCTTGGAACAAGGATCCCTTACAGGCATCAAGGAACCCCCATGGAGATAAATAAGGATTCAAGACGCAACTTACCCAATAAGACAGGCAATGGCTATAACCATTCGCTTCTTGGAACAAGACTCAATCATCTTGTTGGGGGTTTATAGGGCTATTGCAGTGGACCCCGTATTGAGCACTGCTTCCCGGAGCTGTGTGAGTAAGTTTATTCAGGTACAGGTATACATAAATACAGTTACATAAATTTTAATACATAGCACCACACGTGTAGATTACCTAGGATAACCCAAGAAAGTCAGACGAAGTGCAAGATATACTGACAGAATAAAGAGAAAGATCGCGGTCAGCAGGACTCGAAGCCACGTCAGGAAAGGTTGACAAGGTTCCGCAAGGTACGGGCTGGGGAAGAAACATCACTTGTGAACCTGGAGTTTACCTGGAGAGAGTTCCGGAGGTCAACGCCCCCGCGGCCCGGTCTGTGACCAGGCCTCCTGGTGGATCAGAGCCTGATCAACCAGGCTGTTACTGCTGGCTGCACGCAAACCAACGTACGAGCCACAGCCCGGCTGGTCAGGAACCGACTTTAGGTGCTTGTCCAGTGCCAGCTTGAAGACTGCCAGGGGTCTGTTGGTAATCCCCCTTATGTATGCTGGGAGGCAGTTGAACAGTCTCGGGCCCCTGACACTTATTGAATTGACACCCCTGCTTTTCATTGGGGGGATGTTGCATCGTCTGCCAAGTCTTTTGCTTTCGTAGTGAGTGATTTTCGTGTGCAAGTTCGGTACTAGTCCCTCTAGGATTTTCCAGGTGTATATAATCATGTATCTCTCCCGCCTGCGTTCCAGGGAATACAGGTTTAGGAACCTCAAGCGCTCCCAGTAATTGAGGTGTTTTATTTCCGTCTCAATGAAAATAAGTAATTTGTCTGACTTTTTTTTTTAGTTATCCTAGGCAACCTACGCATATGTTGCTATACTTACTCTTCCCGGGGGCCTCCCCAGTTTGCTCTTCCTGTCTATTGGGGGCCCCCAAATTTGCTCTTCCTGGGGGCCACCCCAGTTTGCTTTTCCTGTTTATTCGAGGCCCCCAATTTGCTCTTTCTGTCTACTTGGGAACCCCCAATTTGCCCTTCCTGGGGTCCCCATTTGCTCTTCCTGTTTATTCAGGGGCCCCCAATTTGCTGTTCCTGTTTATTCAGGGGGCCCCCAACTTCCTCTTCCTGGAGGCCCCCAATTTACTCTTCTTGTATATGCGGGAGCCCCGAATTTGCTCTTCCTGGCCCCCCTCCCCCAGTTTGTTCTTCCTGTCTATTCGGGGTCCTCAATTTGCTCTTCCTTGGGGCCCCGCAATTTGCTCTTCCTGGGGCCATGAAATCATAAAGCTCTGAACTTTGTCCTAATGAGTGTTCTGTAACTTGTGTTGTCTTCATGGATCCGACGCCCAGTGGCGAGAAATGCTGCCGTTGTCTAACATGTTACGGAACATATAATCAAAGCATTTCTATGTGTGTGGCTGTTGTTTGAATCAATTCTGATTTATGTGTTCTAGCAATTCTCTAGAGTCAACATTATTTTGATCATGACGCAGAAGCTTCAGCCCTTATGATCACATCTCGGTCTGTCCTGGCCCACTCCCAAGCATCCAGGCCGGGTTTTTGATGTATTGTTCCAGCCACGGTATTGTCTTTTATTCTTTAAATACTGTTTTAACCTACTTAATACTAATTCTCATATTCTATCAGTTACACCATTTGTGCACAATTCTTTACTCACAGTAAGCATCTTAGTAGTTGAAGGACACCAAGAATAATTCTTACTTTATTTTGTGTTAGTTTTCAAATCTTCCGATGACTTGACTGTTTTGCAGGACTAAAATTGGTGCATGGTAATCTAAATGTTGGCAGTTCCAACATTTACAACATAGTTTTGATTGTATCTCACAGTTCTGAGAGCTTCAGAGTGTCATCTGCCAATACATGCTCATCTAAGTCCCTTGCACTCTGACATCACATAAGTTATCAAGTGCTTATCACCCGTGTGATAAGATGGACATAATAGAGGTGAGGCAGGAAAAGCATGTTAGTGTGGTGTTGGCGAGTGTGACTGATGGACGTGTGTTAAGGAGTGAGAGTGCTCTCAAAGCTTTCAAAATGTGTGATCTGAAGGGGCTAAAAGCCACGGGTATCGTTTTTGCTATTTTCGCTACAGTAAGTTATGAGCAAACTTTTATTATACTGGTTTTAAGCCTATCGACTACCAGAGGTGTTACTAAGATTGGGTAATGTATTAGGCTTAACATAGAGTTCACGAAGGTTATTAAAGTTACTTGGTTTCTTAGGATCAGAGCCTATTAACTACACGAGGGTCATTAACGCTGCATATCAGTTGTATACTACCACTCAGTGAATACTTTAATCCCTAAAATAAGAATTAAAATACTCTCACCACGTGTAACACTGAACCTTTCTACACCGAGATACATACTTCTCGGAGGACATACGCTGTGAGATAGATACACAATTCTTGGTGGATGTACGCAAATATATGCTTCTCAGTGTATATGCGCTGCTATTTATTTTCTAATGACACCCCTAATAACTCTCTCACCCCTACTCTCATTTATATTAGTCATTTACAGAAGCTCACACTGACACTCAATGTGGAGGATTTTATGTGCACATGACTGACCCTGCTAGTGTGTGTTCACCCTGAACCTGCCAGCCTCTCCACAAGCTTTTTCAAGGATTTGGTGAACAGTTCCATCTACAAGAGGGACATGACATTTTCACCAACTCGAGAGAATAATCACTTCATTTGCCCGAAACAGCACCCTATATACCAATTAGGTCCCTACCTGCCATACACAAATTGTGGATTGCAATCTGTTTAACGAACAAGGAGAAAAATGGATTTTGCCTGCCCCCTCAGGTCTATTAATTATATCTGAAGGTTTGGCGTCTTGGGCTTGTGTTGAGATTAAAACGGGATGCCCATTAACTTACCTACTGCTTAATGATAAGCTGTCGCCATATCTGAATGTCATTAATCGGCACTCGGCACACGCGCCAGTAATGTCCACGAAATCAAAGTCCACTCTTGGAGTATGGATTCTGGCTTAAGTCCAGAACAGTGAATACTTAAACGAGTCTCGATACTTAGCTCAGTAACTCAGAGACTTAAAGTACACAATAAAGGTGTCGTGTATTCTCTCTCGTTTATACGTTCGAGGAAACACTATAAGCCATAGTTGTGTCGTCTCTGGATCAAGGCCTCCAGGCTTGCTCTGCCCTGGGGCGCTTCTGCCAAATGGTGGCAAAGGTGAATATTAATCGTTCAGTATGTCAGCACGTCAGTCACTATGACATTCATAAAAGTCATCAAACATCTGAGATCTAGTGACGATTAGGTCTCAGATACTCATATTGTAACTGCCACCTGCCAGGCAGGTGTAACACATGACACTGTAGTATAGTGGGAGAGGGCAGCTGTACTCCGTTACTCCGTGCAATTGGCAGAAGACTCTTGGTCACAGTGACGCTATGTAGGTCACTGGTACACGGGAATTAAAAAAAATCCCAACTTAATGAATATATTTTTATAATATCTTGATTAGTTGAACCACCTTGAACATAAGAAAGGGGACTGTTTGCCTGAAGTTCACATACCTTGTAACAGTGAGCATATACACCTCACTAGCATTGATGCCAGTGAAATGCTCTTGATACAAAGAATATTTTCCTGAAATTCACATATATCATGTACATAAGTGTTATCTTTTGTTATTTTTTAACCAGCGGAGAACGCTGATCTGAAGTCACGAAATCCTCACGAGGCCCAATGGCATGATGAGCAATCCTGTGATTTTGTATAGCACTGTTGCTTAAAGTTGTACACAACAGATTCCACTAAATAGCTATCGAGTTTGTACAACCCATAGCTAGAGTTATATAAGGCATTCCTATCATGTTTCAAGAACGAGGATTCAATTATGTTTCTTTCCATAACGGAACTGTTGGGTACAATGATCTGGACAGCAGCCCACCCTGGTGGGTGACTAAAAACTGACGTGGTTGAAGATAGCATTTGACTCCTGGCTCATCCTGAAATTCACATATATCTTCTACATATGTGTGATCTTTAAAGTTGTTTTTAACTAGCTCATTATATTTACATCTGTGCTGCTAGTTTAAGTGTGGTATGATGACTGTGTTGACACTTCCCATAATTTGTAAAGGGGTGGACCGGTAGACCAACGGTAGGCCTCGGTCAGATGACCAAAAGATCCAGCTGCGTCAGGAAACTTGTCCTGTTTCCTGACAAACCTTACCTAACCTACCCTACCCTCGTATCTATCTACTTTCCCTTTCTCCAGAGACTGTATGATCCCCCTACGGGTTTAGCTCTTCCTCATGAATGTAATAATAATACTAGATAGAGACAGCGTAAACATATGGCTATATCATTGACGGTTGACACAATGAGTAACCAACCCTCTCACTGAGTCATTATCCTAGTATATTTGGAAACATTTCGGTAAATTTACTTTTGAAGTGATGTAACAAGCTGATAATGAGGTGACGCACAGTAGAACACAGAAGCCTGGCTGAACTATCGTAGTGTGTCTGTATCTCAGAGGACGGAAGACGGAGTCCCCACTGCTCCTTGAGTCAGATGCGAAGTATCGTATTGCTGATAATAGCGGAGAACAAGCCCAGCCAAACAAGTTTTTACTGGGAGAACGTTTCGCTCGTGTAGAGCTTCATTTAGCCGTTGATGACATGATAAAGCTCTGCATATCAGTGATGTTATATACCAACAAGTACGTTAATGTCACAATATGCGATAAATTCGTGGCATTTCATCGAGCAGATCTTTCGTCCATCAGGGACGAAGCGTCTTCTCAATAAAATACCGTAAACCACATATTTGGCCTTACTAACATGATAAGGCTTTCGAAAAAATTGTCACAATAAAAGTTTGCTCTACAACATGAGTCTTCCCTTCACTACTGTCGGCAGTTAGTTAGTTTAATATGTTTATTATGCACCCCATACCCATCCTGTGGGCGGTAGTCAAAAGATTACAGAGGTACATAATTGGTCCAGGGACTGGACTCCAAAGTTTTGATAGCTGAGCAAGTTACAGAGGTAATGAATTCACAATTTACAAAGGTAATGAACTCACAAATTACAAAGGTAATGAACTCCAGGTAGGTCTAGTCACAATCACAAGTTACAAAGGTATTTACAGATTACAGAGGTACGTAATGGGTCCAGGGACTGGGCCCCAAAGTTTTGATGGCTGAACTAGGTATATGGAAAATTTTCTAGGGTGCTTACCTGTATGTACCTCAACATTATATACATACCAGTAATCTCATTAGGAGACAATCATATTGTTTACCGTAGTCACCCCGTGTAGACATGTGAGAAAACTTAACCACCCCTGGTCGCACCAAGTGGTCCCCTCGACCTCACAATCTTATCCATATCTATCCGAGACCAGTATGGATTGGGTAGCACCCACAAGTACGGTGCTACTAATTAATTGTGGACTGTATAGATTATATTAGTTTAGCTGAATGAAGGGGAGGGGGGTAGGATACACCTGGATACATCCATCAAGGAAAACATTTGTACATAATCCCACCACTTACCAGATGTTCTCTGGTGATCACTTGAGGTAGCTGGATCACTCATAACCTATCTAATTATAACATAACACTACTGGCCAGCATAAGTTTGTTATAACTAGAAGGGTTACTTAACTGTGGGTGATTGATACTCCTTATTTCTTCCATTCACCATCTCAGTTTCGATGTCCTGCTACACCGACACGGTTCTCATTCCGGCAGGACGAGGTATCCGTCGGTTTGTCCCGGTTAGAAGTCGTGATTCTATAAATCTCCATTATCCCCGGTACGAGAGTCACACGTTCACTCGGAGCAAGGCGCTCTATTTCACATCCCGCATTCTCTTAACTCAATGTTATTATCACTGATTACATTACCATTCACAAGACGATTTAACGTCTCATAACTATTACACAAATTAGAGGTCACTCCATTGAGATCTGAGGCCGATGAGCGAGGATTAACACACGGGTATGTCCCCTGGACACTCACCCTGGCCGTGCACCTGCCACCCGCTCCTACTCTTATCACCCATTTTACCACTCTACCACCGTGGTCCCGTAAATCACGTTCCCTCACTCTCCACCAGGAACAGTTACGACACTTCTTATTATGAAATGAGGCCTATATTAATCCTTAGGCCACCGTGAACGTCAATTTCGTGGTTCCATGTTTTCTCAGCTTCCTCACCACCATTCAAAACAATACGCGCTTCCCCCTCCCGCACATCCGCGCATGCGCAAAGGGAACTCTTGGTTCTACTCTTATTTTCAAATACATTTTTGACCCATATAGACACATTAAACACCTATTAGGCACTATAGTTTCGGAAAATTAAAAAATTTTCCACAAGGTACAAGGTAATGAACTCACAAGTTACAAAGGTAATGAATACTGTAAGAATGGTTACTTACGTTTATACATGGCTACAATCATGAACAAATTATAGTGCAATGAGCAATTCACACTTCCACACCCGGTCACAACTGTAATGAGTTATTGGTGCAAATATTGATTGTTGAGTCACACACACACACACACACACACACACACACACACACACACACACACACACACACACACACACACACACACACACACACACATTGCCAGCAGTATATACACTATCTCTCTCACGAGTGGTGCTCCTCAAAACTATTTCTTATCGCCTGCTTTTTTTCTTTTACTTCCTTTTACTAATAACATCATTCACACCTCCAGCATGCATTATATATATATATATATATATATATATATATATATATATATATATATATATATATATATATATATATATATAACTTCTAGTAGTGGACGGAGGCTTGAGCTTCCATTCCTTGCGCTGAATAACCCAACCGAATTTAGCTCTTCGTGAAATTATATGCAACCAGCTTAGCGTAGTGCTGACCATTAATAAAGAAGAGACAGTTGTAGGTCAAGCTTTAATTGTGAAAATGTTCTGGTCATGGACCGGACCGCGGGGTGTTGACCCCTGGTATACTCTAGGAATTTCTGTGTAAAGCTTTTTTAAGTTCATATCAATGACTTAATAAAGCTGTACGTTGAAGCGTTGCCACAAAGCAAGCTTACTTTACAAATGTCTCTCTTCGTTTTAACACATCCCGTCTACATACACACACAGTCCGAACATGACCACAGCACAGTGTTATGAAATATGGATGATAGTGGATTATCATGGTAGTGATATCATGGTAGGATATCATGGTAGGGTGATATCATGGTAGGGTAATATCATGGTAGGGTAATATGGTAGGGTAATAGCATTGTGGTAGGTGAAGTCATTATGACAGTGCTATTATTATGGTAGGGTGGCATCATTATACCAGGGTGATATCATTATGGTAGGGTGATGTAATTATGGAAGTGTCATATTATTTCAGGGTGATATCATTATGGCAGGGTTTTATCACCAATGTAGGATGATATCATTATGGTAGTTACATCATTATGGTAGTGATATCACACAAGCATATCAAACATGCTAGACAACCACTGTAAAAGCAGTCATAAGGTCCTTCAAGCACTTTCATGCATCAGGACGGACATTTTCAGAGACTGACTTGCAATCCCACGGGCAACTTTTCAGTCTTCAAGCCTTTCTCTTCGTTCTTCAGTTTCCCAGTTTCTGCTTCCCTTCTGTCGAGGCAATGTACTGAACATGTCTACAACATTGGATGAAAGCACTTAGTGCAACAACTCGGTGAGTACAGAGAAGACAACAAAATAATAAGAGTTACTTGATTTGACACATCGCTACCGCCCCTCGCAGTGACTTTTATCTTGCTGTGTTCGCTTGACTGACAGAGATAACACATCAGCTACAATGCACACTTGAGTGGTATCCGCCGGCTCAAACAAACATACAAGATTTTTTTTTCTTCCGCTTGCACGTTTGAGCCGATGCTCGGTATATGAAATTCTAATAAAAGATTGTTAATGGGGATTTGTATTGAAGCCTATCGACTCCACTCGGTTCATTAAGGCTTTATGTAACCTTTTCACTACCAGACCAGAATACTTTATTCCCTCGTATAGGGATTAAAGTAAGCTTTCATCATATATACACATTGAGATAATTATATCTCTCGGGGTTCATATCTTATCTCATTACAAGAACTGTATTAAGTAGGCTTGAACATTCTTGTGTGAATAGGGGCATAATTCAGACAAATGAATATAGGAGCAAATTCACGAATTGCGGCTCCACAGGGAATGAGAAGGGGGGTTCAGCCCCCATAATCTCCACCAGCCCCATAATCTCCATCAGCCCCCACAATCTCCATCAGCCCCTTAATCTCCATCAGTCCCCTTAATCTCCATTAGCCCCTCTTAATCTCCATTAGCCCCTTAATTTCCATCAGCCCCCTTAATCTCCATCAGCCTCCTTAATCTCTATCAGCTAAAATAATCCCCATTAGTCCCGAATTTAAAAAAAAAAACTCAGCCTTTATTAATACAAATTCCCTAGCCTTCCTTGCCCCCACTAAGTCCCTCCTGTACAGACATTCCAGAACCGCCACTGTGAAGAGGCTTCAATTTTTCTGGCGGAATGTAAACAGGTATTGCTGTGAAGACACAATACTGTATGCAAGACTGTCTTTTACTAGGACAACGTTTCCCTCAGGGTAAAAGGTTATAATGTCATGAGATATTCTCAACATTGAGCAAGACGTTGCCCCAATAAAATTTTGTCCCTCTACCACATTGTTTCACAAGCCATAACTGCAATACTTGGTGCCCCTTACTTCGCAACTGATCGTCAGATACCGTATGGTCATACAATAAATCGACATTTAATGATGCTGTATAATTATTATACAGGGTTTAGACAGAAATTTTTATAAAACAAAAATATTTATTTTCGCATTAGTAACCTCAGAGAGTTTTAACCCATGAAAGCACAGAAAAAACATGCAGTGTGGCTTATTTCCTTGGGAGTCCTCTGATCTTCCACAGGATGTGACCCTCGGCAACCAGGTACCTACTTACTGTTAGGTAAAAGGACACAAGTGCAACTAAAGTGACATTTTATTGTGGCAACGTTTCGCTCTTAAGGAGCCTTGTCAAGCTGTTACAGCTTGACAAAGCTCCTGAAGAGCGAAACGTTGCCACAATAAAATGTCACATTAGTTTCACTTGTTTTCTTTTACTTAACATATTGTCGGTAATTCTACCAACGTTAATACTACCTACTTGCTGGTAGATGAGCATGGACAAAAGGTCCCAAGAGAATTGCCTGTACAACCTGCCCAACTCGAGGATCGAACCCGGATCCCTTTCGTTGTGAGCTTAATATACTAATCACTTAACAATGAGTGATTATAAAGGCTTGAAGAGGACAACACAGAGGTGGCTCTGGTCCCTAACATACTCGAAAAAAACATTGTTAGTGTCAGCATAGCAAATATATACAATGAATGCAGTGACATAGACCGGGCCGCGGGGGCGTTGACCCCCGGAACTCTCTCCAGGTATACTCCAGGTATACACACTACCCCAGTGGGATGAAATGCGTTTAGACCTTTTATAAATATATTAAGAAAATTGTTTGCAGTGAATTAAAAGATAACCACTCTTTGTGTTCCTGGTGTCTTGTATTGTCTTCTTATCCTTACATAGATTTATCAGTCATATTTAGGACAAACAGGAAGACATTTATTCACTAGAGTAACTGAACATAAGACTGCGTATATATATAATGCACAATTTTTTTCTACTTTTATTTCAACAACGAAGAAACTGATTTATATATCAGGCCCTGGCAGTCATTAAATCATAAAATCAATAATAAATAATGTGAGGGGAAGATAAGGTAAATATATGAGTCAGGTTATGTACATTATCAGTATTATCAGCCACTGTCACTTGTCACTTTAAGCATTAAAACGGCGGAATTTCTCTGTTATTATCTGTTCATGGAATCCATATCTGGGATACGTAATTTTGGAATAAGTGTGGCGAAAGTTTGTATTTGCCCTGAGTGGAATATAGCATATATACTAACATTATCATAATCACTCAACCTTCAGCGGTGTGCCTTGATATTGGTGAATTAATTTGAATTAATTTAACCTTATTGCCTACCATTTCCCAGAGGGTATGACCCCTATTGGGCTTAGCTCTTCCCCTTAACTGGTAAAGAGTAAATCTTAACAGCTTACTCTGAGAGGACCACAATGGAAGTAAGTCGCTGACTTTTTTGGGGTATCCTAGGTTCTTTACACATATGCTGCTATGTATGATAATGTACGGAACTGTATTTGTGTTAACCTGGATCAACTTACTAATCACAGCTGGTGTCGCTGGGCACAGAAGGCTTCTACGCCTGGGAAACCTACCAGGTGGACCATCAGTGTTACAACCAAACTATGTCAGACGTGTGTGATTATGACGGTGAGTCTTACATTGTTTCTCTTGCTGGGGTTTTCTGAGTACTTTTCACTGAACCTTTTTCTCTTAGAGATCATCATTCCTTGGAAGTGGGTGTAGTATTAAGAATATTATTTAGTGTTGGTGGTGGTTGTAGTAGTAATGGCAGTAGTAATAGCAGCAGTACTTGTTGTAGTAGTAGTAGTAGTGGTAGTGAGACTAGTGACAGTAACAACAGTACTTGTAGCAGTAGTTGACTAGCTGTGACAACAAAAGTAGTAGTAGTAGTAATAGTAAATTAAGAAGTTTAATCACATATACAAATATTGACAGTGTTATCATTATTGACATTTCTACTCCTAGTATGGACTAAGTCTTGCCTGGTGCTGCCCCACAGAGCTGGAGACCCGCACATACATAGGCCTGGCGGAGGGCATCCTGGGAACCATAATCTCCATCTTCCTCATCGTTGGCTTCGCCTTGGTGGGTCAAGCTACAGCTCCTGTCCCTTTTAAGGAGGGTAAATCGATGCCAGTGCTCTTCATCCGAGGAACTGGATGATACCTGATTACTTTTCATGCCACACAAAGTAGAATTAAAATAAAAATAAAATATCGTTATATCAAACACGAATATAATTATAATTACACATTATTGAAGGAAAGTGATATACGTTAATATATTTGCTAGCCCATTTATGACATTTAACCTATTTATGGTATATTTAACCCACTTACAATATATTTGTTAACCCATTTATGATATGTTTATTAACCCATTGATGGTATACTTGTTAACCCCTGCAGCCATATACACCACTCATCTGGACGTGGGTGGTATGGGCGCTGGGCATCTCAGCTTATAATGCCTACTGTATCTACGATTATTATACTGTTATAGAGGTAAACCACACTATCTGAATTAACTGTAAATTGAAACACTCTGTATAAAATACAAAATTTAATACTTTCTCATTAACTCCCTAATTGCCATACTTTGTATGGCAATATAATATATATAATATATATATATATATATATATATATATATATATATATATATATATATATTATATATATATATATTATATATATATATATATATATATTATATATATACGTGCATACATACATGTGTAAATTTTACGGCAGGATAACAACAGCGGAGGCAGCTTCCCGTGGGATGACCTGGTTACTCAGGACTACAGTTACTTCCTCATCTGCGTCATCGCCTCTGTCTGCTGTCATGTCTTCACACTCATCTTTATCATTCCCCTGGGTGCTGCCATCACTCATATGGTGAGAGAGAGCCAGCCTCTGATCAATTATGCTCATAAACTTTTTTTTCGAGTATCTGGAATTGTGATTTATCCTAGTTGTTCGAATTCAAGCATAACTTTTGTGATTTATCCTTGTTCGAATTCCAGTATAGTGTGTTGTGATTTATCCTTGTTCGAAATCCAGTATATCGTGTTGTTATTTATCCTAGTTGTTCGAATTCCAGTATATCGTGTTGTGATTTATCCTAGTTGTTCGAATTCCAGTATAGTGTGTTGTGATTTATCCTAGTTGTTCGAATTCCAGTATATCGTGTTGTGATTTATCCTAGTTGTTCGAATTCCAGTATAATGTGTTGTGATTTATCCTAGTTGTTCGAATTCCAGTATAGTGTGTTGTGATTTATCCTAGTTGTTCGAATTCCAGTATAGTGTGTTGTGATTTATCCTAGTTGTTCGAATTCCAGTATATCGTGTTGTGATTTATCCTAGTTGTTCGAATTCCAGTATATCGTGTTGTGATTTATCCTAGTTGTTCGAATTTCAGTATATCGTGTTGTGATTTATCCTAGTTGTTCGAATTCCAATATATCGTGTTATGATTTATCGAATTCCAGTATATCGTGTTCTGATATATCTCTGCTGTTCGAAACATAGCATATTTCTAGTTTATCTTGGTTCTTCAAGTTCTCTGCATATTCAATTTTACTTTGTGTAACTCTTGATGAGATTATTATCCAATTTGACGTTAAATATCCATGAAAGATTTCTTTTTTTGAGCATATATGCGAAACTTATCACCACATTTCTATTTAGTACTAGTGACTTGAGGCATTTGATGAGGGTGTGGTATGTATGTTTCTTCTGCAGATCTCTTCACGATCTTCTACTTTCGGAGGCTTTGAATGTAAGTTTATATATATGTTTTATTAAAAAAATATAGCTTTACACAGCCCCTCTGGGTATTACTGCACAATAACATAAATTAGGCCAATATAAACAAGTCTTACATAGATGTATGTTAGTTTTGTGGTCAGCAGTGTAGTGAATATCTGTAATGTCCCATGTCAGGCCATATTTAAAGGGGTGGACCGGTAAGCTAGTGGAAGGCCTCGGTCAGATGACCAAAAGTTGCAGCTGCGGATCATAATCTAAGACCCGCGTCAGGAATCACTTTTCCTGTTCCCTGACAAACATTACCTAACCTAACCAGGGCATACAGCAGCACCTATAAATGTAGGTTATAATTATAACCTTAGTTTTTATAGGGGTGGACCGGTAAGCCAGCAAAAGGGCTTGGTCAAATGACAAAAGCTCCAGGACTAAGACCCCATCAGGAAACAGTTGTCTTGTTTACTGACAAACCTTAACTAACCTAAGAGGATGCCGCAGACTCAGCGTGTATATTCTGAGAATTTATTTTACTCTCTATTTTAGGGATTTAAGTATTTTTGTCTAGTGAAAAGGCTACATTGCAACCTTGCTGATCCTATTGTAGTCGAAGGATGCCTATCTTGATGTATATAACAGTTGAGAATCTATTTAACATTTTCTGTTAAGAATTGAGTGTTTTTGAGGTGTCTAGTTGGACTGGGGCCTTATGACTTCATGCGGATGGTTAAGTGGAAGGCTTAGTAACACAAGATGATCCAATATTAGTTCACCAGAATGATTCAAGGTTAACTCGGAGTGTTAATAACTAAAGATTAACTAAGGTTAACCCAAGAAAGGGAATGAAAATAAAAGTTATCTGAGACTTACAACAGTCTGGTAAGCAGTCTGGACGCATTCTATAACAGATGGGAAAATAAAAAATCTGGGCTGAATGGTGCTATCGCCCTTGGTGCGGACGCTGTACTGGCCGACAGTAACTACGTCTGGAGGTGCTGGCCATGTAGTCAGAAACTGTAAGGCTGGAGGTGCTACCCTGGTAGACAGTAGCTGTGAGGTTGGAGGTGCTGTCCTGGTAAACAGTAACGGTGAGGCTGGAGGTGCTGTCCTGGTAGACAGTAACTGTATGCATGGGGAAATGCATGTTAATGGCCTCGAGGGAGACAGGAACTGTAGTGGGGAAACAAGTGTAGTCAAGGACAAGATAAAACCAATATTACAAACTAGTAATACCACAGGAGATAACAAACAAGGGGACTCCACTAGTAATAGTGAGTATCTATTAACCAGAAACAACTGGTGAGATTTCCATCGTTAGTACCAGTGAGGATAGGAATGAGACAGGAAAACATGCACCAACAGGGAATACAGTCATAAAAATCCAAGGCAAACAGAAACCAAGCCTGTGCACATATTATGCACTTGGTATCTGCAGACATGGGATATCTGGTAAAACAGATGGGACGTGCCACTTTGACCATCCTAGAAAATGCCGTGCCCATATGACAACAGGAAAATGCAAACTCTCTTCCTGTAAGCTTTTTCACCCTGAAATGTGTCCCTCTTCAGTACAGGAAAGACAGTGCTGTAACTTAAATTGGTTTTTTAGTGCCAGGAAGGAAAAAAAAACTGGCAGGAAATGGCAGAAATCGTACACCAAATCACAGTCGATGGCCTCCTCTCCAAACCAACAGATACAAATTTTAGTGCCGGAAAAAAAAAGTCATCCCCCCCAGTACCACCAATCCGATTAACATTCTTCTTTGCAAATATACAGGGTCTGAAGCCAGCAACGAACAACAAAATACCTTTCATCGGTGGACTGCTTGCAGAGGCAAATGCAATGTTCACGGCTTTCACAGAGACCCACATAAAGGATTGCTTGGACAACGAAATATGGATCCCAGGTTACAACCTATACATATGCGACAGAGTGAACAGGCAAAAAGGGGGGGAGTTGGCCTGTATATCGCAGAGTCACTTATTTGCACAGGACTGCTGAATGCTTCAAATGATGTAGTGGAAGTTTCAGCAGTAAAGATCGCGAACCAAAATGTAGTCATTGTGGTAATCTACAAGCCTCCGGATGTAACGTCCCAACAATTCCAGGAACAGCTGTTGATAATTGGCCACTGTCTGGAAAATCTTCCAGCTCCTGCCCCCAACATCTTGCTCCTAGAGGATTTTTCAACTTAAGGCACCTAAAATGGAGGAATATAGCAAATAATGTTGTTGCAGTGATAACACCAGGTGGCAGCTCAGACGAAAACTCACACGAACTTTTAAATCTCTGCACAAAATTCAACTTAAATCAGCAAATAATAGAGCCTACTAGACTGGAGAATACACTGGACCTCATCTTCACTAAAAATGATGATCTGATACGAAATGTCACCATATCAAAAACAATATACTCAGATCACAACATAATCGAGGTTCAGACATGTATGCGCGGAGCCCCAGACCGACAAAATGAGATCAGTCGCGAGGGAGCCTTCACCAAATTCAGTTTCAATAACAAGAACATAAAATGGGACCAAGTAAACCAAGTCCTAAACGATATAAGCTGGAAAGGTAGACTAAGCAACACAGACCCCAACTTATGCCTTGATCAGATTAACTGGGTGGCACTCGATGTATGCTCAAGGCTTATTCCTTTAAGAAAAAGGAGGAGTAGATGTAGAATAGAAAGAGACAGGCGCTCCCTTTACAGGCGACGGAAAAGAATAGCAGAGCGGCTAAAAGAGGCCAATATATCTGAAATGCGTAAGGAGTCACTGGTCAGAGAAATAGCAAACATCGAACTTAAGCTAAAGGAATCTTATAGGAGTCAGGAATCACGGGAAGAACTAAAAGCCATCAATGAAATCGAAAGAAACCCAAAGTATTTCTTTTCTTATGCTAAATCAAAGTCGAGAACAACTTCCAGTATTGGGCCCTACTTAAACAAGATGGGTCCTACACAGATGACAGCAAGGAAATGAGTGAACTACTCAAGTCCCAATATGACTCAGTTTTTAGCAAGCCGCTAACCAGACTGAGAGTCGAAGATCTAAATTATTTTTTTATGAGAGAGCCACAGAATTTCGTAAACACAAGCCTATCTGATGTTATACTGTCACCAAATGATATCGAACAGGCGATAAATGACATGCCCATGCACTCTGCCCCAGGGCCAGACTCATGGAACCCAGGGCAACATGGGTTTAGAGCAGGTCGCTCCTGTCTGTCCCAACTACTGGATCACTACGACAAGATTCTAGATGCACTAGAAGACAAAAAGAATACAGATGTAATATACACAAATTTTGCAAAAGCCTTCGACAAGTTTGACCATGGTGTAATAGCGCACAAAATGCGTGCTAAAGGAATAACAGGAAAAGTTGGTAGATGGATCTATAATTTTCTCACAAACAGAACACAAAGAGTAGTAGTCAACAAAGTCTATTTTTGACACTGCAAGACTCCAGGCGGACATCAACCAAATCTTTCAATGGGCTGCAGAAAACAATATGAAGCTCAACGATGAGAAATTTCAATTACTCCGATATGATAAACATGAGGAAATTAAAACTTCATCAGAGTATAAAACAAATTCCAGCCACAAAATAGAGCGAAAAACTAACGTCAAAGACCTGGGAGTGATCATGTCGGAGGATCTCACCTTCAAGGACCATAACATTGTATCAATCGCATCTTCTAGAAAAATGACAGGATGGATAATGAGAACCTTCAAAACTAGGGATGCCAAGCCCATGATGACACTCTTCAGGTCGCTTGTTCTATCTAAGCTGGAATATTGCTGCACACTAACAGAACCTTTCAAGGCAGGTGAAATTGCTGACCTAGAAAATGTACAGAGAACCTTCACGGCACGCATAACCGAGATAAAACACCTCAATTACTGGGAGCGCGTGAAGTTCCTGAACTTGTACTCCCTGGAACGCAGGCGGGAGAGATACGTGATTATATACACCTTGAAAATCCTAGAGGGACTAGTACCGAACTTGCACACGAAAATCACTCACTCAAAAGCCTTCGACAAGTGTGACCATGGCGTAATAGCGCACAAAATGCGCGCTAAAGGAATAACAGGAAAAGTCGGTCGATGGATCTATAATTTCCTCACTAACAGAACACAGAGAGTAGTAGTCAACAGAGTAAAGTCCGAGGCAGCTACGGTGAAAAGCTCTGTTCCACAAGGCACAGTACTCGCTCCCATCTTGTTCCTCATCCTCATATCCGACATAGACAAGGATGTCAGCCACAGCACCGTGTCTTCCTTTGCAGATGACACCCGAATCTGCATGACAGTGTCTTCCATTGCAGACACTGCAAGGCTCCAGGCGGATATCAACCAAATCTTTCAGTGGGCTGCAGAAAACAATATGAAGTTCAACGATGAGAAATTTCAATTACTCAGATATGGTAAACACGAGGAAATTAAATCTTCATCAGAGTACAAAACAATTCTGGCCACAAAATAGAGCGAAACACCAACGTCAAAGACCTGGGAGTGATCATGTCGGAGGATCTCACCTTCAAGGACCATAACATTGTATCAATCGCATCTGCTAGAAAAATGACAGGATGGATAATGAGAACCTTCAAAACTAGGGAGGCCAAGCCCATGATGACACTCTTCAGGTCACTTGTTCTATCTAGGCTGGAATATTGCTGCACACTAACAGCACCTTTCAAGGCAGGTGAAATTGCTGACCTAGAAAATGTACAGAGAACCTTCACGGCGCGCATAACGGAGATAAAACACCTCAATTACTGGGAGCACTTGAGGTTCCTAAACCTGTATTCCCTGGAACGCAGGCGGGAGAGATACATGATTATATACACCTGGAAAATCCTAGAGGGACTAATACCGAACTTGTACACGAAAATCACTCACTACGAAAGCAAAAGACTTGGCAGACGATGCACCATCCCCCCAATGAAAAGCAGGGGTGTCACTAGCACGTTAAGAGACCATACAGTAAGTGTCAGGGGCCCGAGACTGTTCAACTGCCTCCCAGCATACATAAGGGGGATTACCAACAGACCCCTGGCAGTCTTCAAGCTGGCACTGGACAAGCACCTAAAGTCGGTACCTGACCAGCCGGGCTGTGGCTCGTACGTTGGATTGCGTGCAGCCAGCAGTAACAGCCTGGTTGATCAGGCTCTGATCCACCATGAGGCCTGATCACAGACTGGGCCGCGGGGTCGTTGACCCCCGGAACTCTCTCCAGGTAAACTCCAGGTAAACTACGAAAGCAAAAGACTTGGCAGACGATGCAACATCCCCCCAATGAAAAGTAGGGGCGTCACTAGCACGTTAAGAGACAACACAGTAAGTGTCAGGGGCCCAAGACTGTTCAACTGCCTCCCAGCATACATAAGGGGGATTACCAACAGACCCCTGGCTGTCTTCAAGCAGACACTGGAAAAGCACCTAAAGTCGGTACCTGACCAGCCGGGCTGTGGCTCGTACGTTGGATTGCGTGCAGCCAGCAGTAACAGCCTGGTTGATCAGGCTCTGATCCACCATGAGGCCTGGTCACAGACTGGGCCGCGGGGGCGTTGACCCCAGGAACTCTCTCCAGGTAATTATTATGAGAAAGTGCTAGACCCGTAGGGGTTAAAGTGTCTGAAGTTTAGTTTAATATCTTTATTATGCACCCCATACCCATCCTGTGGGTGGTAGTCAAAAGATTACAAAGGTACATAGTGGGGGCAGGGACTGGGCCCCAAAGTTATGATAGCTGAACTAGTTACAAAGGTAATGAACTCCAGGTAGATCTGGTCACAATCATGGCAAGTTACAAAGGTAATGAATCAGCCTCACTCCTATACATGGTTATAGTCATGAACAAATAAGTGTCTGGAGAGTAAGAAAAAAATAGGTTTACCTGGAGAGGGTTTCAGTGGTCAACGCCCCCGCGGCCCGGTCTGTGACCAGGCCTCATGGTGGATCAGGGCCTGATCAACCAGGCTGTTACTGCTGGCCGCACGCAACCCGACGTACGAACCACAGCCCGGCTGGTCAGGTACTGACTTTAGGTGACTGTCCAGCGCCTTCTTGAAGACAGCCAGGGGTCTATTGGTAGCCCCCCTCATGTATGCTGGGAGGCAGCTGAACAGTCTTGGGTCTCTGACATTTACTGTGTTGCCTCTTATTGTGCTGGTGGTTAGTCCAAGGAAAGATATTGTAACTCCAGTTTCTTTTGTTAAGAGCCCTTTACTAGCATCAAGGCATCCCCATTGAGGCCAAGCCAGGAGCTGAGACTTAAACCCAGCAACCACCAATAGTTGAGCACAAGCACACACATATCTTCACAAACGCACACATTTGCATACGCACACTTGTACATACACATGCATACATATTTTTAGATCTTGGTGCATTAGGAACCTTAGACCACCCTGCACTATTCCTGTTGCTTTTATTTATGTTCAAATTAATAAATTAATTAAAGCAGAGGAGGCTGGGCTTTTGGGATACCGCGGATACCATTCATAGATGTCTCGGAGACTGAAACAAACTTTTAATATTTATGATATAGTACTGGATTCATAAAGGTTATACAGCGACTATGAAATGGGAGGTGTGGTGGTGAAGCTGTACCGATTATCCTGTGACTATCAATTTCAAATTCTGAGAATCGTTGGCTTAGCGCTTCTTTTTTATTATAATAATAATAATAATAATAATTTTGAGAATCATTAGCTTTAGCGCAGCATAAGATTGTGTTTGGATTTTTAACCCCGGAGGGTTAACCACCCAGGATAACCCAAGAAACTCAGTGCTTCATCGAGGACACTTGTGTCGTATTTCCAATGGGGACCTTCAGTCTTGTCCCCCAGGATGAAACCCAAACCAGTCGACCAACACCCAGGTACCTACTTAATTGCTGGGTGAACAAGGACCTGAATATTTAGTGTGTTGGAAGTGAACGAATGCCACAAGGTTCGAGTAGAGGAAAGGGAGTGCAGCTCTAATTGCTTGTATCAATAGCATTTCACCAGCTTCAAAGTACTGACATAAAAGGTCATCATTGATTATAAAATGTACAATTGAACTTTCTCTTTTAGTAACAGTGTTTTGAAGTGTTGACTGATAGAGCCTTTCTTATTTCCTTTCATTCAACATAATGGAATGTAATATAAATGATTTCAGGCTTTAAATAATAAGTTATAACCAGGATTTCCAATGGAAATAAACCACTTTGACTTTATTGAGTTATCCTGGCCTGGTGGCCTGGTGGCTAAAGCTCCCGCTTCACACACGGAGGGCCAGGGTTCGATTCCCGGCGGGTGGAAACATTTCGACACGTTTCCTTACACCTGTTGTCCTGTTCACCTAGCAGCAAATAGGTACCTGGGTGTTAGTCGACTGGTGTGGGTCGCATCCTGGGAGACAAGATTAAGGACCCCAATGGAAATAAGTTAGACAGTCCTCGATGACGCACTGACTTTCTTGGGTTATCCTGGGTGGCTAACTCTCCGGGGTTAAAAATCCGAACGAAATTTTATCTTATCTTATCTTATATATATATATATATATATATATTATATATATATATATATATATATATATATATATATATATATATATATATATATATATATATAATATATATATATATTACTGTGTGTGATAATTGTACTTATGTGTACCTGTAGCTAAATAAATTTACTTACATCCACAGTACGTGAGAGGTAAAGTTGCAAGCTTCAAGCTGGACAACTATCAATGGGACAACGACGCGTTTGCAATGGACTAACTCGGCGCCTCAGTGGTCTTTAGTGGTTATAATGTAGCAATTATTATTTTTATTACATATATGAAGGGAATGGGAGACAATCAGGTTCAATCCAAGGAAGGAGAGGTCAGGCGCAATTCTCTGGATCAAGAGCCTCATCGAGCGTTGAAGAACCTGCCCTAGTGTGGTATACTCTGAGTCTAATATGATTCCTTAATGCTCAGATATCTCTAACTACCTGTACACTACAATGAATCCTTTTTAATTTTGAAGGATGCACAAAAAAATTTGATCGACATATTTAATTTTTTCGGTTTGTACTATAAAAAGTTTTTTTTTCACGTGTAGAAAGGTTTCTTCTCGCTAAATCCCCATGATTTTGCAGACCCTAACTTACTTAGTTTCTTTCTGTTCAGAAACTTGATTAAACTCTCCATATACTCGAGAACATGGATGAACATGTTTCATTGTAATTATTTAAGTGAAATATATAATATATACTCTCATTTAGGGGCTCTCAGTACTCATTAAATTTAAAGAAACTCCTTTCCGTGAATGTGTCTAGGAAAGGTATGAATATCTTAGTTCATTCTCAGTACGGAGCTTAAAAGAAATGAGGATATGCAATCTAGAAAGGTATGTTTTAAGCTTTCATTATTAGGCTGCAGTCAAATCATAATCCATATGGAAAAGCAGAAACAAATGCAGTATAATGCGATTCTTTATTGACTATGTATAGACAATAAAGGCTTGCATTATACTGCATTTGTGTCTAATGTTCCATCGTGTCAGTATTTTATTCCATTTTCTTAACACGTCGGCCATTTCCCACCGAGGCAGGGTGGCCCAAAAAGAAAGAAAAAACTTTCATCATCATTCAACACTTTCACCATCACTCGTACATAATCACTGTCTTTGCAGAGGCACTCAGATACAACAGTTTAGACATCTCTCCAAACTGCCAATATCCTAAACCGCATGGAGGGGTTTAGGTTATTGGCAGTTTGAAGAGAATATTACCCTGCTCACACACCAACAGCTTGTCAGGTCCCAAAAACCAGTCGTCTCCATTCACTTCTATATAACATGCTCATGCACGCTTGCTGGAAGTCCAAGCCCTTCATCCACAGAACTTCCTTAACCCCTCTGTCCAACCTTTTCGACGACGACCCCTACCTTGCCTTCCTTCTCCAACAGATTTATATGCTCTCCACGTCATCCTACTTTGTTCCATTCTTTCTAAATTACCAAACCACACCAACAGCCCCTCTTCAGCCGACTTGTTGAAAAAAAAAAAAAACGCCAACCACTCCAACACTATCTCCCCCCGCTTTTAACATTTCTGTTGTGATCCCCTCAGTTCCAGCTGCTTTACTCCCTTTCATTCTACATAATACCTCACATGTCGGTCATCTCCCACCGAGGCAGAGTGACCCAAAAAGAAAGAAAATCTCAAAAAAAAAAAAAAAAATACTTTCATCATCATTGAACACTTTCACCTCACTCATACATAATCTCTGTCTTTGCAGAGGCGCTCAGATACGACAGTTCAGAAGTCCCTTCAAACTGCCAATATTCCAAATCCCTCCTTTAAAGTGCAGGCATTGTACTTCTCATTTCCAGGGCTCAAGTCCGGCTAACCGGTCTCCCTGAGTCCCTTCACAAAATATTACCCTGCTCACACTCCAACAGCTCGTCAGGCCCCAAAAACCGTTCGTCTCCATTCCTATCTAACATGCTCACACATGCTTGCTGAAAGTCCAAGCCCCTCACTCCATTTGTCTCCATATAATCCTCCTACTGTATCTGAACTATGTGACGTGACAGTGACTGGTAATATATCGTGCAGTCTTGCAGTATTTCATGAAAAAAAATCACATACTGAAAACTATTACATAACACAAAATCAGGAACGTGACGGTAAGCTGTCCAATATACAAAAAAGAGTTAGAAACAGAAATACAAATAGCTAGAGCTTCATTTAAGGTTATTAATATAATATTCAAGAGGTTGCTAGTAGAATTGCAGTAAATCAACCATTCAAATCATTATGAAGCTGTGTGTAGTCTGCAGTCAATCAAACAAACGGGCTTCCACATGGATAAATTGTCATTTTTGTGGAAATTGGTGTCACGCCCCTTGTGCAGATATCCCCCGAACTACTACAAGCAGTATTTTTAAAACAGAAAAAGTGTTTCTGGGGATGCCCCAAATGAGGGGGAAAACTGTGGATAAAAACACAAGGGGATTAAAAGAGGACAAAAATCAAAGCTGCTTCATAGAAAACCGGGGAAACTTTCTAAAAAACCCAATTTGGGAAAAAAAAAAAGGGCTGGGCGAAAGGGTAATGCCCTTGATACTGGCCCTGAAATACAAACTGTAAGGGGTGGAGATTATGTCCCCGGTAGTCGTAAAAAGTGGGGCTGATAGTGCTGTCCTGGGAGACAATTTAAAGGGGGAAACCCGGAGGTGCTTTTCCCTGGGAGACAGAAATTGGGTGAAGTGGAGGGTACTGTCCCCGGGGGACGTAATGGTGAAGCTGGAGATTTTGTCCGGTAAATTTGGGGGGAAATTTTAAAGCAGGAAGGAAAACATATAAATGACCTCATAGGGGGAAAAGGGGGCCCTAGTAGGGAAAAAAAGTGTAGTCAAAGATAAGATAAAAACCAAAATTTTTCAAACTAGAAAATACCCCAGGGAAAAAAGGGAAACAGAGGACTCCAATAGCAATAGTGAGGATAAATTACCAAAAAAAAACTGGTTTGGGGCTCCCTTGTTGGTTTCTAGGGAGGATAGAAGTAAAAAAGGGAAACCCTGCACCCCAAAAAGGGAAAAACAGTCACAGAAACCCCCAAAGGAAGCGGAAAACCCAAAACCCTTTTTACACATACTATGCCCCCTTGGTATTGCTGGCATGGGAAATCTGGAAAAACAAATGGGGCGTTTCAACTTTGAACCCACCCCAAAAATTTCCCATTTCCCATATGGGCAACAGGAAAAGGGAAACCCCCCTTTTCCCTTTTAAACTTTTTCCAACCCAAAAGTGTACCTTCAGTAAGGAAAGACGGTTTCTATAACTTAAATTGCCAGGCATTACCATCTAAAGGGGGGCAAAAAAAAAACAAAACATCCAGGCCAAAGGGAAAACCCGGGTAGCCCCAGCCCCTCAGAGGGGGAGGTTTTTTTTGGGGCCAGGAAGGAAAAAAAACTGGCAGGAAATGGCAGAAAAACGTTTCCCCAAATCCCAGTCCCTTCCTTTGGGGTGGGGAAACCCCAAATCGATGGCCCCCACCCCAAAACCCAAAAGATACAGTTTCTAAAAGCCGGAAAAAAAAAACCCCCCGTTCCAAAAATACCACCCCGTCCGATTTAAAATTTTTTTTTGCAAAAAATACAGGGTCTAAAGCCAGCAAACAAACAAAAAAATACCCTTTTATCCGTTGGGTGCTTTCAGAGGCAAAGGCAAAGTTCGCGGCCCCTTTTTACTGAAAACCCACATAAAAGGGTCACTTGGACAAAGAAATATGGATTTCCCCGGTTACAACCCAAAACAGTTTTGAAGAGTGAAAAAGGGGAAAAGGGGGGGGGTTTGGGCCCGTAAAATTTGGGAGAGTCATTGTTTGCACAAATGTTAAAAGCCTCAAATGACGTGGGGAAAAATTTTTGCAGGGAAAGGTTTGAGAAACCAAAACCTATTTATTGTGGAAATTTTACAAGCCTCCCGGGTTTCAAAATCCCCGCCCAAATTTCCCGGGAAAAACTGTTAAAAAAATTTACCATTGGGCTGGAAAAACTTCCGCTCCTGCACCAACATTTGCTCCCCGGGGGATTTCAACATAAGGCACCTTTTAAAAATTAAGGGAATTTTTGCAAATAAAATTGTTGAGTAATAAACACCAGGAGGGACTCTGAAAGAAAAAACCCCACTCCCCCAAAAGAGCTTTAAAAACTCTGCAAAAAAATTCATTTAAACCTCAAATTTAAAAGAGCCTACTTAAAACTGGGGGAATACACTAAAACCCCAATTTTACTAACAATGTTTATCTGATAAGAATGTCACCCTATCAAAAAAAATATAAAATCCCGGGTCACAACATATTAGGTTCAAAACATGTATGCGAGGAAACCCCAGGGCCGACAAAATGAGACTAGTCACGAGGGAGCCCTTCACCAAATTTTAACTTCAAAACAAAAACTAAAAATGGGGGCCAAGTAAACCAAAAATCCCCAAAAACCCCCAATAAGCTGGGGAAAATATACTAAGAAAACAGACCCAAAAATTATGCCCCAGAACAGTTAAACTCGATGTATGCACAAGGGGTTATTTCCTCTAAGAAAAAGGAGGAAATAGAGTAAAATAGAAAGAGACAGGCGCTCCCTTTACGGCGACCGGGAAAAAAATAAAAAAGGCCCGGGTAAAAAAAGGTCAATAAATCTGAAATGCGCGGGAACCCCGGGCAGAGAAATGCAAGCATCGAAAAATTTAAACTAAAAGAATCCTTTAGGGTCAGGAACCCCGGGAAGGGAAATAAAAGTATAAATAAAAACGAAAGAAACCCAAAATTTTTTCTTCTTTCCCATGCCCAAAACAAAATTTGAGAACCCAAGCCCATAATTTGGCCCCCCACTTAAAAAAAAAGATGGGGTTCCCACACAGAGGGCAGAAGGAAAAAGAGTGAGACTCAAGGCCCAAAAAAGACTCAGTTTTTAGCAAGCCCCTAAACCCAAATGGGTCGAAGATCAAAAAGAATTTTTTTTGAGCCACAAAAATTTTTATTACACAAACCTATCCGATGTTTTTCCTGCGCCAAATGACTTTGAACAGGCGATAAATGACATGCCCCGCACTCTGCCCCCGGGCCAGAAAAATGGAACTCTGTGTTTTATCAAGAAAATGCAAGAACCCTATCACGAGCCTTTTCCATCCTATGGAGGGGAGCAGGGACACGGGGGTCGCCCCTCGTTACAAAAACACAAACATACCCCACTCCACAAAGGGGGCAGTAAAGCAACAGCAAAGAACTAAGCCAAATGCACAACTCCCTATCAAAAAATTTTTTGAAAGGGTCCAAAGAAGCAAGATCCCACCCATCTAAACCCATCAGTTTACACAACCCAGGGCAACAGGGGTTTTTAGAACAGGTCGCTCCTGTTTTGTCTCAACTACTGGATCACTACGACAAGGTCCTAAATCCCACTAGAAGACAAAAAGAATGCAGATGTAATAATATACGACTTTGCAAAAGCCTTTCGACAAGTGTGACCATGGCGTAATAGCGCACAAAATGCGCGCTAAAGGAATAACAGAAAAGTCGGTCGATGGATCTATAATTTCCTCACTAAACGAACACAGAGAGTAGTCGTCAACAGAGTAAAGTCCGAGGCAGCTACGGTGAAAAGCTCTGTTCCACAAGGCCCCATTTACTACCCTTCCCTCTTGTTCCTCATCCTCATATCCGACATAGACAAGGATGTCAGCCACAGCACCGTGTCTTCCTTTGCAGATGACCCCCGAATCTGCATGACAGTGTCTTCCATTGCAGACACTGCAAGGCTCCAGGCGACATCAAACCAAATCTTTCAGTGGGCTGAGAAAACAATATGAAGTTCAACGATGAGAAATTTCAATTACTCAGATAGGTAACATGAGGAAATTAAATCTTCATCAGAGTACAAAACAAATTCTGGCCACAAAATAGAGCGAAACACCAACGTCAAAGGACCTGGGAGTGATTAGTCGGAGGTTTCTCACCTTCAAGGACCATAACATTGTATCAATCGCATCTGCTAGAAAAAATGACAGGATGGATAAGAGAACCTTCAAAACTAGGGGGGGCCAAGCCCTTTGATGACACTCTTCAGGTCACTTGTTCTATCTAGGCTGGAATATTGCTGCACTCTAACAGCACCTTTCAAGGCAGGTGAAATTGCCGACCTAGAAAATGTACAGAGAACTTTCACGGCGCGCATAACGGAGATAAAACACCTCAATTACTGGAGCGCTTGAGGTTTCTAAACCTGTATTCCCTGGAACGCAGGAGGGAGAGATACATGATTATATACACCTGGAAAATCCTAGAGGGACTAGTACCAAAACTTGCACACGAAATCACCACTACGAAAGCAAAAGACTTGGCAGACGATGCACCATCCCCCCAATGAAAAGCGGGGGTGTCACTAGCACGTTAAGAGACCATACAATAAGTGTCAGGGGCCCGAGACTATTCAACTGCCTCCCAGCACACATAAGGGGGATTACCAACAGACCCCTGGCAGTCTTCAAGCTGGCACTGGACAAGCACCTAAAGTCAGTTCCTGATCAGCCGGGCTGTGGCTCGTACGTTGGTTTGCGTGCAGCCAGCAGCAACAGCCTGGTTGATCAGGCGCTGATCCACCAGGAGGCCTGGTCACAGACCGGGCCGCGGGGGCATTGACCCCCGAAACTCTCTCCAGGTAAACTCCAGGTAAAGTGGGTTAGCCAGAGCCATTCCATAT